CTTTTTGTGATGAGTTGGAGAAGCGCAAGGGAGCAGCCGAGACTGCAGCTAAGAAAATCTTGGAGGGCAAGCCGGGTGATGAGCAGCGCAAGGTGTCTGTGCAGAAGTGGCTCCGAGGTGAACTAGATCGCTTGTCTGGAAAAGCCAAGGAGCTGGAGGCCATGGTCACTGGAGCAGCTAGCAGGGCCGGCAGCTCCATCCACAAGCTCCTGCATGTCTTGCAAACCAATGATGCTACTTGTGCTTCTGAGTTTTCGAATAAGCTGGAGCTGTGGCGCCAAATGGATGCTTCGCAGAAGGTTGCCTACGAGGTCGTGACAGGAGCCCCTAGTCAGCCAGATCAGCTACCGGAGTCTACAGGGGATCTGCTAAAGGACGCTCCTGCACCTGATCCTGTAGATGAGCTATCTGATGTGGAGCCATGTGATGACTATCTGGATTTTCTCAAGGAGCCGGAGCTCGAGACGACGGAGACCGACGCCCAGCGCATGATCAGCCAATCCTCGAAGAACTGGGTAAACGATAGCATGCAGGAAACCCTTTTGGATCCATGTGTGGCCGAGCAGGAAACCCTTGTGGACACATGTATGGCCGAGGGCCCTCAAGAAGGGGCCATCAACGGCGATCCCCAGAAAGCACAATCCGGAGAAGGGGCCCTCAACAGCGATTCCATGCAAGCACAGTCCCAAGGGGGGGCCATCAACAGCGATTCCAAAGAAGCACAGTCCGGAGAAGGGGCCATCAGCGCCGATTCCAAAGAATCACAGTCACGAGAAGGGGCCATCAGCGGCGATTCCAAAGCACAGTCCGGAGAAGGGGCCATCAACAGCGATTCCAAAGAAGCACAGTCCGGAGAAGGGGCCATCAGCGATTCCAATGCACAGTCCGGAGATGGGGGTCGTGATCCGAATTCTGTACCGAGCAACGATGACAAGATGCAGGATGCGTGTTCCGATGCAGGTTCAGTCGAGCTACTGAACGATGATGCTGTCTTGGAGGCCGAGTTGGGACGCCTGATCCTCAAGGACCCTATCTTGGATTAGATCGATGAAATAATTAAGACCATGATCCTTCAAGCTACTAAATTAAAACTTTAAACTCGATAGGTCCTTACGATGTATACCATTCGATTCTCAGCCCAGCCCAAGCCCAGATAGCATATATGCACTATATGCCATATAGCCTAATAGTTATTAATGTTCAAAGTCCGGAGTCGTATATATATATATAATATTTAATAATATATAGTACCCGTACTAGATCTAGATATACTAGTATACTATAATAATTTAAATATAATGATCATACTGACGACTTCAACATCCCGGCCCAGCTCCATCTCCTTTGCCAGGAAGAGCCCACTGAGTCGCTCCAGGTTCCAGATCCACAAGCGGCTGCTGCTCCTGTACCAGTGCAAGAGCTTAAGAAGCAGGTCGAGCCGGTTACCGCTGGGACTCCAGTGCAAGCAAATGCCGAGCAGGAGCATAGCAAGACCAAGCAGATTCAAGAGGTTACCGCTTCTTTGCAGCGCTTGAATACTGCTGACATCCAGGCCAGCTCCCTCGTCTTCTTTGTCTCCCACTCTTTCTTGCTTCGAACGACTGGCACTCTCTCTCTCTCTCTCTCTCTCTCTCTCTCTTTCTCTCTCTTGTGTGTGTATTTCTCTATCTCTCTCGTGGTGTACATGTCGATGTGCAGTGGAATCCGGTTGAGATCAGGCCATGACTGCTGTGCCGAAGACCACCGATGCTGCAAAGCAGGATCCCTCTCAGCATGGGCCTATGGTGGAGGATCCGGATGCTTCTGATGACGATGCTGAAACGGAAAAATTGAAGGCTAGGCGTGAGTCAAAGAGACTTCGCATGAAATTCAATCGATCCCTCGAGAGTGCCTTGACATAAAGCCGGTAGTGACTGCAACTCCTGGATCATCCTATCTTGTATCTCAATATCGCCCAGGCCCCAACTGCCCCGATGTCATCCTGAAGAAGGCCGCCGATGGAAAGTATGGCGCCTTGGATGGCAGCAGTGCTGATCATACATATGCACGAACATGCATGTGCATGTGCATGTACATGTACGTATACCATGTACATCATGTCTTTCCTAGTTTGATCACGATAACTTTTAGTCGACGTCGATGCAATGGGCAAAGGCACAGCAGTTCTGAAGGAGTTGTTCCAGATGTACAAGGATTCCGGGTATGACTGGATGCAATCGGACCTTGTGCTTCAAGCAAAGCGCTCGCAGCAAACTGCGGTCACCGGGGCTCGTTCCTATGCTAGCTTCAAGAGCCTGGTTGAGAAGCACGGGGAAAACAAGGCAAAAATGCTGAGATCCGAAAAATATGCCTTGCAATGCAACGGCAGCTACTTGCCGGACGTGCCATGGCATATGGCCCACCCAGACTTTATGGCCGACGAGGCCGCTGATGTTTTCGATTCGGTTTGCATGCATGTGAGCGCTAGCATGCTCCTTTACATTCGTGCTGGCAGGAGGAGGAGCTCTTCTTGGTGTTTGACTCCGCCAAAGTCGAGAACTCCAAAACCGATGAGCAAAGCCACAGATTCCAGTCCGACATGCAGTTGAGTGGCGATGATCATGCAGCTCAGCTTTCGTTAACGTGCTTCGTCATTCCTAGACCTAGGACGATACGGGTCCATGTGTCTTCTTTTTATTTTTTTGGGGGGGGATTGGGATTAATAATATTTAATACAGGTACGATACTTACAGCTACTTGTGCATCTAGCTAGCTGTACTACTGATCTCTCTACGACACGTACTATATATCGCAGATCATGCTAGACAATATAATAATAATATTAATTTAACCGACTGAGCACATAATGGGCTGCACATGTACCTACGTGCGTGTGCCTGTACTATGTAATATGTACACATGACACATGTATACATATAAGCCTAAACCCTCAATCCAACTTCGCGAAAATTAAACCGACCTGATAGTAACGCTATTCCCTGTACAGATATGATTGCCCAATCCCCCAGGTCCCCAGATAGCTTCATCCCAAAACCGCATAACCAAGCAAGTTCAACCTTGCCCTTGACGATTGCAGGTTGCTAGTCGTACTGAATTCGAATGAAATATGTAACCACCCTATGCTAGCCCTGGGATCCGAATCCTATAAGTTATCCCGGATCTAGACAGATAAACCCGCTTGGAGTCTGATACCAGGCCAGCGCTGATGAACCAGATGCCGGATCCCATCGGTGCCGCCAGTAGCGGGCTGCCTGGGTTCACCAACAATGCATTGCATGCAGGTGAAGTTCGTGAGAATAATCCGAATAAGAACAAGCCAAAGAACCCCAATCAGGCCAAGAAAGCCACTAGCTTCCAACAAAAGGGTCAGGCGAAAATCAAGGAATCGGGTGGCTTGCTTACCGATGCCAAAACGTGGCTCCACAAAGTGGATGAAGAAAGCAAGAAATCGCCCGCTGAGGCAACTGTGCAGCTTTGCTGGAATAATTATTACATGTCAGCCTAGGCACTCGATCCACATATCCCAGCCACCCATCTGCACCCCCAAGGTCACCTGAGATGTGCTCTGGCTATCGGCACCAGATCAACTTCCTGGTTGGCAACCTTAAAGCAAAAATCGAACTCCTCGAGGCTACGGTGGTTCGTGGGTCAAACGACGAGAAAGTGATCAAGC